GAGGATGGGAGATGGAAGTGTGGGAGTGGATAGGCGCGATCGAACGATTTGAAGCTGAAGTAAACGACTCTCTTCTGTTGTTTGGCTGGACGTGGGCGCTGTCTTTACTCCCTGTTGGGCTTCAATGATGAGCCTGGGATTTCCTCTCTACTTCGGCGGGACGACTTGAAGGAAGTTCTGGCCTGGCGTGGTGGGGAAGGTAGAGATCATTGGTGTTTGGGGTATCTTTGGTGAAGGATCGAATTACCTTTTGCACGTGAGGAGCGTAGGTAGAAAAGTTTCACCTTCAGCGGTGCAAATTTGTCGTTTCCGTAGAATAGCGATGTTCCTCTTTTTTACCGGTGCTGCTCGACGTGAAGAATACGCTTTCCGTTCGTGGGAGTGACCTTATCTGCCTGAATCGGTTCCTCTCCTCTTCGCCTCTCCTTTGTTCTTTCCCGTCGACTTCCCCTTGTCTCTTTCTGTTTTCGTCTCCCTGTCACTAATGCGCACTCCCTCGAAAGTGCTCCCCTTCTCTTCCCTCTTCGCTCTGTTACGCCTCTTCTTCTGGCCTTCCCCTTGCCCGATTAGGTTATGGAATCGCCTTGTGAGCTTTTGTCCGTCTGTGCTCTTCCCGTAAAGCTACTCACTCGCGTGAGCTCTCCCTTGTGCCTGCGCTACATTCTCTTTTAGGATATTCTCTTGCCCTTGCCCTTCATCTTCATGCTCATGATTCCTTGTTTTGTCCTCCCCTTGCTCATCCCTTTAACTCCCGTTCAGTGTCGTGATCCTGTAGCTCTTTGTCTGAGGTGATGATGTCTTGGGCTATGGCTATTTCTTCACGGCTTCCTCGCCACGCCCGAAGGCGTGGCTTCCTTGCACGCTTTCCCGCCCGAATTCGAAACGTTGCTGGCGAGAAAAAATTGTGTCTGCGTGGTGAGGCTCCGTGCGCGGTCAGCCCTGGTGGGCCGCTTGGGTCGACGGAGCGTGACAGAAAATTAGCGCAAAATAGCGCTTACCAGCGGCGCTAGCGCAAAATCGTTCGTCCGCATCAGTCCGGTTCCTATTCCAGCGGCAAGTCAGGAAAAATAATTACATCATAGAACAC